GAGGAACGCACCTAGTCCGGAGTCCATTGTATGCATGATCATTTCCAAAGTCGGACTGTGGACGTGGTACTTTCCCAGACGTTTCGCCGGCATTGTAGTCAGCGTCGTCAGTGAGTCTCGACATTCGTAGCACCATAGTACAGCTCGTTAAAGAGACAAGTGAAGCCGATCCTTTGATTAGTTGTTGTGTGGTGATAAGAATGGCGAGACTCACTGACGATGCCGACTACGATGCTAACGAAACGTATGAGAAAGTACCACGTCCACGGTCCGAATTTGGAAATGATCATGCATACAATGGACTCCGGACTTGGTGCGTTCCTCGAAGTCTTCCCACCAATATGACCAAGTTGCGGAAACGAGGTCAAACAACTTCTATGCAACGAAAGGAGACTGTGACCGCACACAGGCCACATTATCTTGGTCTTCATACCTTCGAATAATTTACCCTTTTAGATGTCTTAAAGATCAGAGCAGGGATGTATATAGAAAGCCAACGCATGCTGGCTTTATTCTTAACTTATTCTCCAATCATAGTTACAAAACAAAGGTTGGAATTCTAAAATCTATGATTATTCGGAACATAAGACTAGCCGATAGTTACCATTGTAATACTGAACTGGATCGGCTTAAAATAATATTTCTTGAGAATAATTATCCCCTAGGTTTGATTGAAAATAACATTAGGTTAATAAATAATAACTTTTTGAATGGTGAATACGAAAGAAGTGATAAGGAGATATTTTCACATGTTTTGTCTTTTCCTTCGTGCATTCTATCTTGAAGGTTATGTGAACAGGTAAGGAAGTGGGGAATGAAAAACGTTTTCAGGGAAATTACGACACTTGCTTTAGTTATGCCTACTTTTAGAGAGAATGTTGACCCATTATCCAGATCGGGTTGCTACAAGATAATGTGTTCACGCGGTCGCTTTTCTGTTGGAGAGACTTGTCGACTGAGAGCAAAAGCGCCTGCGAGTATGTTAAGTTGAATAATCGGACTAGGTGCGTTCTACATGGTCTCCCTTAAAACAAGACCAAGTTGCGACAACGAGGTCAACCCACT